GAGAGCAGGGATGGATCCTGAGTACGCTCTGTTGAGCGAAAGCAGCCAAGCCCGAAAGAGTAGTTAGTGCACGACCCCATGCAGATGAAGTTCAGGAACAGAGGAGTTATTACATACCAGGTCAGTGGCACACGAACTCATCCTACCCTCGTGGTGCGGGCACCCTAAGCAGGGAGAAGTCATGTGGAATCTGACCTGGAGATCCACGGGTCCTGGCCGAGGCCACGGCAAGCCTGTCTTGCAGAAGAGTGTCCGGCTCAGCCATTCCGGCAGACGGGAAACCACAGGATGGCCCCTTCCCCAGGTCTGGCCCCTCCGGCCACCACAAAGACAGTAGGACCCAGACGTGGCTCAGATGGAGAGAAGCTGATGAAGACACAGTATGTCCCAGGGAATGTGGCTGCATAACAAATGACCCCCAAACTCGTGAAATAAAACAACCATTTATTATGCTGCTCCTGGTCGTTCAGAGTGAGTCCCTAAGGCCAGCCCACAGCAAAGGGAGGGAAGTCCAACTCCAGCTTCTGTGGGAGGAGTTGCTCTTTTAATAATTACTGTTTTCCTTCTCATCATAGTCTGCAAAATTGGAAGGAAAGCCCTATGCACCACCGGAGATGTGAAGCATATACCTACACAGCACAGCTCTCTCAAACTACTTGCCGCCACTTTAAAGAAACAGAAAGGGGAAGATGTTGGGGTTGACATAGAGCAGGAACCAGCCATAATACCTGGCTTGCTAAAATGTAACGCGAGGCCACTGGGGGCAGGGAAGGTTTCGGAGAAGGCGTGGGCCTTTGGAATGCTGAGGCCTGCATGACCACTCTGCCGCTGGAACACCGTGGGGAGTTGCCTTCCCCGTAAGCTTTCTCAGCCGGAATAGCCGCCCTCCGATCTAAGAGATGTATGCACTGTCCCCAAGGCTATGTTTTGCAGAACTCGTAGAACACGCATATTTGCTAATCCTCCCAGTTCAAGACCCCTTGTCACACATCACGTGCTTGAGAAACACTGATAAGGATTTGTGATTATCCTGAAGGACCAATAAAAGCGGCAGCAAAGAAGAGCAAAGGGTCTTCGTCTCTGAGCATTGACCCCCCTGCCCGCTCCTCTCTTTCACGGCAAAGTTTGGAGTCACCTTTCATCCGTCGGTACAGGGATTGCTGGCCATTCCGGGCAAGTGGTGACCCTGACGTGACAGTGGTGTGTTTTAAAGCCACCACACAGAAGTGAGCTGAGTTATCCACACGGCGGCGGGGGGGGGGGGGGGGGAGAGGGAAGGAAGGAAGGAAAAGGGAGAGCCAACCCAGAAGAAAGCAAAAGTAAAAACAACTCCTCACAAACACTTCAGCCTCTAAGACAACTTGGTAAGAGACTGAATCCAAATGTACAGTAATTACAATAAACGTAAAGGGACTACATTCTATCAAGAGATTTGAGAATCTGAGATTGGATTTTGAAAGGAGAGTAATACAACTATTTGCTACTTAACAGAGATGCACCAAAACACAAAAGCACAATATGGTCAAAAATAAAAAGGAAAAAGGTACGCCAGGCATCTACCACCAAAAATAAATAAATAAATGCTGACATAGCAATATTAATTTCAGACGACCTAGAATTTAAGGCGAAAAGAAAAGAAAAAAGAAAAAAGAAAACCACTCCCAGAATAAATAGATATAGGAAGGAACATTACTTAACAAAAGAGGGAATCCAGCACAAAGGGTGTTTTTCAAGCTTTTTTGACTGGGATTTGCAAACAGTTTTGTTTTGTGTGGTCCTTGGGGTGGGGCCAGGGGTTAAACAGCAGGTGCAGGTCGGACGGCCCCGGGGCAGTGGAAACAGTGAGACACTGCAGTGATCGTGCAAAACGCGTCTTTATACGTTTGTCCAGGTTCACAGGAGCTACAACACCGAGTGAACCTCCTGCCCAGTTTCCGGCAATGGTCTCTCCAGGTCGCCCACCCAAGCACTGACGCTGCCTGGACCCCCCCTTGTCCTCTCTGCCCCTGGGGGGGGCTGTGCCCCTCATTAATATCCCCGTGACACTTCTAGTTGGGTGGTGCCCAAGCCACAGAACGGAGAGCCACAAGCAGGAGCGTCCAAGCTCAGCAGTGCTCAATTAGCAGATGTCCCCGGGGCAGACTCCTGCCCCTGCTGCTCCACAGCGGAGCGCACAGGAGTGGGGAGCCGCTGCCCACTGGGCTTGCAGTGCTCTGGGGGATATGTACAAAGGGGGGGGGTGGCTGCAGACCCTCCCCACACCTGTCACCAGGAACAAGGGCGAGGAGGGGCCCCTGATACAGGGGCTGGTTTCCTCCTGAGAGGAGTGGGGACCTTCAAAGCATCTTGAGCAGGGGGCATGGCGGTCCAGCGACTCCTAGAAAGGGCTGTGGCGGGCAAGAGATCAAGGACACAAACAAGCCCCTCAGACCCACTGCAGAGGATGCCCCACTTCCAGGGAGCCCACACAGGCCTTCCCTCTCCCCGCAGGCCTCCCCAGCTGCCCGGGGCGGGGGGCACCTCTCCTTCTCCAACCAGGGGCAGGGAGCCCAGATCACAGCCTGGCTCTGCCACCCTCTCTTGGCCAGTGGTTCAACCTCCCCCATGGGAAAGGGCAGGGGGGCCGTTCCACTTCCGCATGGTGGCCCTGCATTCCCACCCGGGGAACCCCTCACACACGGGGCCCCGAGGCTCCTGCACGTGGGCTGTTGCAGGGCTGCCATGTGACGAGGTAAACCTGACCACCTTTGTAGGTGAGGACTTGCACACACTCTGCTGGCCGAGGCCCACCAGTCGTGGCGTCAACACTGCACAGGGGGTGTGGGGGAGGAAGGCCCGGCACCTGGTGCTGACATGAAAACAGTTTTGACCTCAGGACAGAGGAAGGGCCTTGGGGCCCCCGAGCACTCACTCAGAGCGCCATTGGCAGCGGGCACAGGCCCACACGAACTTGACCCCCCCACAAGCTTTCATCACAAGACTCAGACACACATTATGAAAAATGTTTTTACTGTAAATCAAAGTACCAAGCAGATACTTGCAAAACAACATACAAAGTAGAACCCGGATGCTTCCCTTCCCCAGGCTGCCTCTGAGCCAGCGCTCGGCACCGTGAGAAAAACCCAATCCAGTCCTGCCCCCCAGAAGCCGCCACAGACCCGCCCGGGGGACTGGAAGGCGCGGGCGCACTGACAGAGCCCCAGGAACCCTTCCCGGCTTGGGGCCCTGCCAGGCACAGGTGTCTGCCCCCCAGCCCGGGCGGAAGGGGGGGCTGCAGTTATTTCGGGGCTGTGGCTTCTGTTTCTATGGCTCTGACACACACTTCCCCCCAGTGCCCCTGCGGTCTGAGGGCAGGGCAGCGGCTGACTGTGACAAAGGCTCCAAGGGCAAGACACGGTTTTATCAGCCACGTGATTTCTCCTATGGTCTGAGCTGGTGCAGACCCACGGGGCCAGGCGGGGCGGCGCCCACCCGCAGGGATCACACTGCCTCGGGCATCAGGACACCGTGAAGATGAGGAGTACACCAGCAAGTAAACATCATGCTGAAACCAGCTGACCCATGAGAACAGCAAACAAGTATGCAACAGAAAGAAAACAGAAAAAGACCACCTCGGTCGGTGGCTTGACTCGGGGGGGGGGGGGG